CTGGAACAAGGAGATAGCAAAATTTAGAGAAACATTGTCTGACTCATCGAAGTTATATGAAAAACAGATGAACTGTTATAGATTAGCTTTGAATCCCCCCCCCTCTTCCATAGAGGATCGGCAAATGAAAGAATGAATGAAGTGCGGTTCGTTGTCTGCAGAAAAAACAACGTACTACAAAACAGCACTTCAAAGAGGAACCCAAGACTGACTCTATAAGTTTCATGGAGATACGATCTGAGGTGATCCAAAATTTGCGCCAGCATCAAGCCATCCTGATGAAAAGATTTAATGTGTTTATGAATAGATCGTATGCTGCATAAAGCGGTGAACGAACAAGAGATGGTTATTCTTACATTCGGTATTGAAAATCGTCACTGCTAATAAGTACAGAACGACGGGTTTGATTTTTATGTAAGCAGATAAATGTTCGCTTTCTTCGTCTTCATTTTCTCCTTCCTCAATTTTTTTCTTCCCAATTCTTTTTGTCCCTGTGAAGATCTTACCTGTTAATGAAGAACTCGACTCTGTTGTCGTGTCATTCATTTTTTACTTTTTTATGCTCTGATTGTAGGAAATCCACACAATCCATGTGACGAAGAGAAAGTCGTTGGGCCGTGTGCCGGAAAGTTTCTTCGATGGTACTTCGATATCATCGAAAACAGGTGTCGAGAGTTTTGGTACGGAGGCTGTCGGAAGAACAACAACCACTTTTACAGTTTGGAGGAATGCCAGGAAACCTGTAAATCAAGTAATCGCCCGATAATTACAGTACGCGATCATCGCACGTTTACCATAGAAACTATACTGACCAATCCGTGTCGACTGATGCCACAGACCGGAAATTGTACTGCACGACTTTTGCGTTGGTATTTCAACATGTTCGACAACTCGTGCCACAAGTTTCTTTATACCGGCTGCTACGGCAACGGCAACAATTTTAACAGTCAGGAGCAATGCGAACGAACTTGTATCAGAGGTAACTTTGGCAGTTTCATATTCTTCTAGCCATTGGCTGCTAAGATCACCTTTTAGAAGTATCTGACGTCGATTACAGCGTCGAAAGCGACCGAGCGTTTTCAATCAAGGAGAAACACGACAACAAAGAGAGTAAGTCTTAGTCCTTCACCGCCAAAATTTACTATCTAAAGTTACATCGAAGGCAATATGTCTTTTTAATTCCATAATTAGCAGCGCGACAAGCAGGTTAATTTTTCATTTATAAGAATTCCAACGTTTCGACCAAATTGCCATCAACCATCATCAACAGGGAATCACTCCCGTAAAATTGAAAATTGCACGAAAACGTCGTTCTCTATTTAAAGAAAACTTTCTCTTATAGTTTTCGTTAAATGAACTATGACAATAGAATATTTTGAAGGGATAAATCAAACTGGTTCATACAAAACGACAACGTCCATTTGAATTGGTCCATACTTGCGGCTGCCAACGACCAATGGTCTAATCTGCCGGCTCAGATAGTTGACTCTATGAGGATGAAGCTGAAGCGAAGCAGACGAATTGGCAAGGATGCCAATTAATGTTCAGACAATGGCTTGAAATCTTGGGTGAAGGGCAGTCCGGATTCAAGACAGGCACCTGGTGTTTGAGCAAGATATAGACAGCAAACCAGCTAATGGATAAGAAAAGAGTATCCTCGTTCAAACTGTTTGCAATATTTGTTGATTTCACCGCTCATCTCAATCTCCTTTGACTCAATCCACAGTGGTGCCTTGTAGAAAGTTGTTGAACAACATGAAATCCAACCCATGACTATTCGCAAAGTCAAAATGAGGTACAGTCTTTCGCCAAGTGCAATGCGAATTGATGGCGAGTTCCCAGTTTGTTCAAGTCGGTACAAAAGAACACAACTACAAAACTGATTGGCATAGAGACATGTTTGAGTAGAAAAGCATCGCACTTTGTAAATTCTTTTTCCACTGCTCTCTGCTGACGTCTTCTGCGTTGTTGCTGTGCATTGAATTGAACATTGCTTGTTGTATTGCTGCTGTTTAGAATTTTCTATCGAATTCGAGACAGAAATAGAAATCTTCGGCAATGACGTTTGTGCGTATCCGCTAGAGTTCGGATTCTGCAACGATCAGCAGCCCAGCTGGTACTACTCGGAAGAGGACAACGAGTGCATGCAGTTTCTTTATTCCGGTTGTGGAGGAAATCCGAACAGATTCAGCGACGAACGCTCATGTGTCCGGCGATGCGTGAAAGGTATCCGGTGAAGTTGCCAGGGCAAAACTAATAAATGGACGGTCAGCTGTGCGTTTTTATAGAGTATCCTCAGGAACCACAGCGGAACTCCTGTCCTCAGAGGGACAATATCACCTGTGACAGCAACTGCTTTGTTGTTTATCGAATGTCTGACGGGTGCCCGAAATGTGTCTGTCACCAGCACGGTAACCGGGACTCGGCAACGACAACCAAAATTCAGGATGTAACTCAAAAAAGTAATTTGCAACCGATGATGGTCAAGTTCCTGTTTATTCATTTTAGAACAGCCCGTTACAACAACGTTACAATTTCCGCTGCCACGACGGACACTGGTCAAAGTGAAGACGATTGCCAGCGCCAGCACTGCCACTCTGACGACTACGTCCGACAAGGCCCCAGCAACCGCGAGACGAACCATTAAAAGGCCCAAATTGAAGAAGGCCAATGGCACCAACATCAGGCCAGCCGTTCTGACGAAAGAGAAGATCATGAACGTAGAGGAACAGAAGCAATACGAAGAGCTGAAATCAAACCTGTCTAGTTACATCAGAAATGGAAGTAGTGAACTGCAAAGAATAGCTAGGTTGGTCGCCAATATTCGCAACCGTATTCTAACCGAGGAAGAAAGAAAGGAACTGCTTCAAAGACTCAGTAATCTTCCGGTGAGGAAAGAATCTCGGCTGAGGATTGATCCCGGAGGCACGGATGCGCCGTTGACCTCGACATCAGTCACCGTCGAGTTTTTGGCAACCTACCCTGACGAACGCCCTGCTCCCAAACTCGGTACCGGTTTGACTTGA